ATGTTTGGCATTTAGGTCTGCACCCAAGATGAAGTGATGTCCTAAGGAGTCGAGGAGAGAACGGAATTGGGCATTGGATATGGATCGGTTAGGAGGGCAATACGCTGATGCAAGGGTAACCGGAAAGGAAAAGGTTTTTATCACGATAGCGGTGGACTGTAGGAAATCATGTGTAGGTAACGGGAGTAGGTGATGGGAGAGGGATTGGTGTACAATGACAGCAGTACCGGCATGTGCTTTTCCGTCAGGGTGGTCAGTACGATATGTCAGGTATTGTGGTATTTTGAAGTGCTGTTTAGTGGTTAGTCGAGTTTCAGTAATTAGTGCCACGTCAATATTTTTGTCAAGTAATAATGTAGTTAGTTCGTTTGTGTGATTTCTAACACCATTCGCATTCCAAAGGAGAATGGATAAAGGTTTATTGGAAGTCATTTAAGGATTTTTCGCGGGAGGGATAAAATGTGATACAAGATTGGTGAGAAGAGATATCAAAGGAGTAACAAGGGATCTGAATTCGGAGAGGAAAGATGTAAGTAAACTGGTGAGATCTGTGGTATTTGAGGGAGGAGGAATGCGGGGAATTTGGTGTTGATAAAACTGTTGATTAGGTGAAGTTTGATTAGGATGTTGAGGGTGGGGTTGAGAATTTTGAGGTATGTGTTGTTGTTGCGGCAGGGTCTCACAATAAGTAACATCATTCTTACCTCCTAATAAGTGTGCAAAAGACACCGTTGGGTCAATTTTTTTTGAAGGTCCTCTTCTTGATGCGTTAGGTTCTCTTCTTGATGCCTCTGCTTCTTCTTGGGTCCGGGATTTTTGATATCTTGATTTAATATTCTTGTAGATCTGACAGCCTTTGTAGTTCGCTGGATGTCCTTCAAGGCACAATGCACAAACTGCAGGATCCCGTTTCGGTTTTGTGCACTCCCCGGATTTGTGCTGCTCTCCACATTTCACACAGCGCGGCAGATGATGGCAGTAAGTCCTGGTATGGCCATATGCCTGGCAATTGTGACACTGTACGATTTCCCTCTTAGGATATGGCTTCTCTACTATAACACTTGTGTAGTATATTCTTCTTATTTCGTATATTTTTTCGATCCCTTGATTTGGCTCCAAATCTACGAAAAATAAGGGTAGAGGAACTTTTACTCCTGGCTGTTCTTTACTCTCCTTCTGTACATTTGTAATCTGGCGCACTATGAAACCTGAAGTTTTCAATTCTTCTTCTATTGCTTCGGTTGGTGTTGAGGGGTGTAGATTTCTTATGACTACCCTCAAAGCTCGATCTTGCCGTAATTGGTACGTATGAAAATCCGCGTTGGTTTCCGTTAGATACTTCACAATTTTTCTGTAGGTTTCAGCTGTATCTGGTGATATCTTCGTGTCCTTTGTTCTGCTTAGACATGAATAGCTTCCAGAGCCTGTTATTTTGTTCAGTTGTGAGCATAGTAACTGAAAATTGCTTATGTTTTTAACGAATATGGGTGGAGGTCGGGGATCTCTTGGTATTGAAGCGGATTCCATCACTTCTTTATCATTCTGAAGCACCTGATAGGGGTTAGGGGTGAAAAACGGAGATTGTTCGGTTATCTCTTGTGAAGATGTACCTGGTTGATGCTGAAGTTCTTCAATTGTTGGTTTTGATGATGTTCCTGGCTGGGTTTCATTTTCTCTGGAGCTAATAGGCGTTACTGCAGGTGTTTGACGACATTGACGAGGCTTTTGTTTGACAGGCGAAGAACAAGGTGTTGAGCCTAACGGCCGAATTCTCTTGATAGAAGCTCTACTAGACATGGCCTGATTGTGAAATCGCATATAAGGGAAAAAAAATGAAAAAAAAATAAAAAATAAAAAAAAAATAAAAATAACCCTATAATTTATAACAAAAAATAAATATCAATTGTTATTATGTATTCTTGACTTGTTTTGAATAAATAATCTCAAAGATTTCACTGCAAAATAAGTAAATTCTGAGAGACGATGTAGAAACACGTCCTTTCGCATCAGCTGATCCACTGCCACCTCATTATTATTATTACCATTCTTTATTCTCGCTTTACGGGGTAAGTTTCTGAGGTGGGAGACCAGAAGTCCAGCCACTTCAGATTAATATCTATTACTTTTTAGATATTTAAAAACTTTCGAACAATACGTGCCGTATCCAAGAGAACTGAGTGTTGAGCCTCTTTCAGCACTTCAAGAGGTAATTTTAATCCCATCGTGCCTGCCACTGTTGTCTTTGGTATCAATCCATTGGAGGATATTATAATTGGAGTGGTGGTGACGTTCCCCAAATGATATAATTCCTTCAGTTCGATTGCCAGTTCCTGGTATTTTCTCAGTTTTTCTCCAACAGTGGAGCTTATATTATTATCATTGGGGATCCCGACATCAATAAGCTCTGCTCTTTTCTCTCTCATGTCTATCAGAAGGATGTCTGGTTTATTGTGACGCACAGTATGGTCAGTTATTATCGATTCATCCCAGTAGAGCTCAAGACTACCTTTTTGGAGGAGTTTATTTGGGTGGTACTTATAATATGGAGTTTTGTCATCTAACAAGTTGAACTTCACCGCCAGAGCCTGATGAAAAATTCTAGCCACATTGTTATGCCTCTGGAGATACTCGGTGCCAGCCAACACTCCACACCCACCTGTGACATGTTGGATTGATTCCAGCGTCGCTGAGCATAACCGACATTTATCCGTAGTTGTTGCGTCTTTAAGAACATGCCTTCTATATGATCTAGTAGCAATAACTTGGTCTTGGATGGCGAGCAGAAATCCTTCTGTCTCGGAGAATATCTTTCCAGCTTTCAGCCATTCAATGGATATTTCCTTGTCAATCGAGCTATCATTTGATTTGCTGTAGAATCTTCCATGCAGTTTTCAATTATCATATTCTTTCAAACTTCATATTTAGCCATTTTTTTAGTTACTGTCAATAAAAGAGAATTAATTTTTTTAAATAATCCATATTAAAGGTACTTTAGAGGAAGACATATTTAAGCTCTGTAAAGTGACATCAATGGGGATAACACCTAAATGATATTAAATACCACTTAATTATACAATGATACACCGAGTTTAATCAAAATCGTTAAAGCTGTTGTTGAGAAATTTGTAAAAATTTGTTTCATCGTTGATATAAAGTGGCATTTCCGGTTAGCTGATTTTAACGAAAAAAAATTGCTGCCACATCAGAACTATATAAAAACCTTAAATACGCAATTTAATTTTTGTACCACTTTTCGTTTTTGACTAAGCTGTTCACATACACACAGACTCTAAGAACACAGACCATTTTGCAGGACTTGGTTATTAGGACTCAAGGGACCTCAAAACGTGTATTTCCATTGAAAACAACGGTTTGGAAATTTTCAAGATCCCAATACTTTCCCTTCCTATATATTACATATATAAGTAAGTGAAAGTAGAAATTAATAAATAAAATTTTAAAAAAATGCATCTAAATTAAATAATTAACAAAAATTAAACAGATTCTCAGGGTGACAAATAAAAATATCAAAGGAGCCTCTTTGAAAATAAAAATAGAAACATCATTTCTAATTCTAACTTAATAATAATAATAAAAGGCTTAGTGGACCCGAAGGTTCGATGCCGACACCACCAATCGCTTATTACACATCACCCTCCACCGTTCGCCGTCCAAACCCAGTCCCTTCAGATCGGCTTAAATGCAATCTTCCCACCTTCGCTTCGGTCTACCTCTCGGACGCTTACCATTCGGCACCGCAAATATTAAGCTTTTAGGAATTCTGTCGTTACTAAGCCCAACAACTTTACAAGCCCATTTGATTCGCCGCGATGAAATTACCTCAATTATATTGCCCGGATACAGCTCACGCAATTCGGCGTTGTGTAACTATCTGAACTCTCCGGTTAACTCATCCTTCTTCAGTCCGAATATTCTATGCAATATTTTATTTCCAAAAACCTTAAGACGCTGCTCATCCCTTAATGTAAGCGACCAAGTTTCACATCCATAAAGAACTGTAGGCAAGATAATTGTTTTATAGATTCTAATTTTTAAGTTCCGGGACAAGAGGCGCGAACTAAGTAGTTTTGTCACAGAAAAATAACAAGCATTTCCCGCCTTCAGTCTAACCTTAATCTCTTCTTCAATTTCGTTTTTTTCTAGTTATCGTAGAACCTAAATTTCTCTACCTGTTCAAACATATTACCATGTATATCGATACACCAGTAGTATCGCCATTTTTGCAGCTAACCATATATTTTGTTTTATCCATGTTTATTTCGAGTCCTAGTTCTTTACCGGCTTTCATTAACGTTGTCATATTTAGTTTTATAGTTTCAACGTCTTCGCTTAACAGTACCAGATCATCAGCATAGCCCAGCACGGATGTCGTCCCGCCCAGATCCAACCCTTTCTCGGTACGCATTACCTCCCTAATGGCATACTCTAATGCCAAATTGAACAGGACAGGCGAAAGAGAATCCCCCTGTTTTAAACCCGAACGAACCTAAAATTTTTCAGACAAATTATTACCGATTCTAACTTTATTGAGTGTCTCCGTCAAGAATTTTAACTTAAAACCTTATTAATTTAACAAAGCTGAAATGTTCTTTTTTGATATACATATGCAAAAATAAAACAAGAAATTGTGTTTTTTTGTCAAGAAGCAGTTTTTAAATAAATGTTTCAAGAATAATTATAAAAAAAAAAATACTGTAATATATAAAATATGTCATATGAATACTGAATGTTTTTCACTATCATGTGGATGTTTTACACCAACTATGATTCTAAACCATAACAGCCGGTAAGATAGGTAAGGATTCTACTCAACTCACTCTGACATCTTTTGGCTTGTAAAATTCTCTGACTTTTATTGTTTTGTTTTTTTCATAAAATTCCCTGACTTTTCCAATCCTGGTAGACACCCCTTAGTCATTATAATTAATCTAGGTGTGAAATGAGAACAGGCTGATTTTAAATTGTAACAACACACGCACATGGTACCATTCAGGAAACAATTGAATTCCAGAAACAAAAGACATGTAAGTAGCAAATCCTTCCTTCAGCCAAAGGTTATCCCACCACTCGATGCACACTGAAACAGAAAATGGATTTCAGTTTTCTCTCATCTTGTTCCTGATTACAATGAATTTAAAACATAAATAATCACCTAAATCACCAAACCACATATGAGATATCTCATGGGCTATGGTGTTAATGACAAACAAAATATCATCACAAGTGCTTTCCTCGTTCAAAATCAGTAAATCTTCCCTAAATGTTATCATGCCCCAATTCTCCATTCCACCAATGTTGGAATTAGGTAAAGCGATCAAATCTGAAAAAATGATCACATAAGCATCCACAGAACTTATTATTATCAGAAAATAAGAGTAAGAAATTAAGGAAATATCATCTGTTTATTGCGAAAAGTCACCAAGTACACCTTTGGTCAATTTTTACTAAGTCTTAAACTCTAATCATTCACTTTCAGAGAAATTCGACAGGTTGGCTGAAGTCATGATTTTTCAATTGTAATTTTTATTATTAATAATTAATGTGTGAAATAAAGATGATAATTAATAATGATTTGGAGTTTCAATTCATTAATCTGCCGATAAATGAAGGGCAGAACATAATAAATATTAAGTAAAATACGATGGGTGCAGGCAGTTGAAATAGTGATATGGTTTTATAATTAATAAAATTAATGAAAGACTCATTAATTTTATAATTACAAAGAGTTTGTAGTAGACATCCCCCGGTATTTACTCCTTTACATGACATTGGGTGAGGGAATGAGAAGGAATATATAATATATAGGAATGTGAGGTTGCACTGTGAATTGTACTCAATTGTGCAGTGGGCAAATTGTTCATTAGAAAATCTCATATCGATAAAGAAGGAAAAAGGTCCGGTCAGATAGCAGCAGCTGGAAGACGACGCCAGGCACTGGAGGCTGGACATAGAGGCAGAACACATACCTGCGAAGAGTCTACTACAAGATTTAGAAGATCAAGTCTATAGTTATAACACTTTAATAGAGTCAATTTATTACAGTTGTAGAAATAAATCATTTTGTTATACAGGAGTGAAAAGTCATTTATTTATTTAGTTGTCCTATATGCCTCACGATTGAAGAATAACAAAACAGGTGAGTCAATTCATTCAAAGGGTATTTACCAAGTCCCACATTTCAAATATATATTCTTATTGTTTCTTCTCACTCGGTGTCACAAAAGGTATTAGATTCCCGAATTCCCAACAACAGTTAAACACTCTCAAAAAGTCTATATCCAGTGCCAGGGTTTTGTTTAAATATTCACGAGTATAAATAACCTAGTTCGTCGATATAAAAACAGAAGGCTATTAGCTATTCCCGCCAAAACAAATTATTTAACAATTAACTTTTAGTAGGATATTTACAAGTTCATAACAATTAAATTCTCCATCTCTGAATTAGAGTGGATGTCGTTTATAACAACATAAGTTGAAACATTGCCCTGGTTTTGACAACGAAATGCCTTGGGCGATGATTCAGAATCGTTTGTAACATAGTTTTTAATGAATATTGCGACGACTGGTATAGCCACTGATTGGATTTAACGTCTCGATTTCTTAGAGTTCTCTCAAACTCCTAAAACCTTTATGTTTATATCCCACTTATCACGGTAGTTTATCATAAACCCACTCTAGTTTATCATGAAATTCACACCTGGAATCATCATCACTGTCTTAAGTCGAACAATCCTATCGCTTAAGAATAGGATCTATTCCTAATAAGAAAACTGGTACCTAAAGAATGATTTCCACTTCATAGTGTACGTACCTTCCCCTATGGATCTCTGCCCTGGCCAGCGAACTTCTTGAAATGCCACGATAACTAAATTGTACCCATTAACCTCATTTGCAACCAATTTTAATCCACCTGCTGTATTCAAATTTATTGTATTCCATGTCTCTTAAATCTCTAGTTTTCAACTTAAGCCATGAATCTCCTAAAGCATCTCCCATTGGTAATATAATGATAAAATAAAAATGTTATGTAAATATAATTTGCAAATATTATCTCAGATTGTTATAGAAAATGCAAATATATTTAGTTACGCTATATAAATCTTTTAACACTATATAAGATTTCTATTAAAATAGTTCAGAAATAGATCTAACAAAGTTGTGTTTGTAAGTGAGAAAAATATACAATATATCCAAACCTAGTTTTCGAAGAGGATATGGAACATCAAAGTAATCAGTAAAAAAATTCAGAATAGCTACAGCATAATCCCTAGCTTTTATCATTGAATTGAGTATTTCAGGTCTTGAATACACAGCTACAGAAACCATATCCTTAGTCATAACAGGTTCAGTATAAGTAAACTCGCCAACAATCAATGCAATAAGATAAGGAGGGATTGGTGGGGTCACTTTGAAGTGCACAGTGTTAACACCTTTTGTAGGATAGTTCAATGTCTCTTTCTGAAATAAAATTTAACATTATTAACTGAAAAAAATTAACGTTATTTCACAGAATTTAAATAAGTTAATAAATTGCATTAACAGAAGCATACATCACGACAAGTGTTAGATAAAGCAGTCAACTTTGCTTTGGCTTCATGAGCTATTTTCACAGCAAATTTCGCTCTAAAACTTGGTTCATCAAAACAAGGAAATGCACATCTAGCATATGTGGCCTCAAAATACGACAACATGCAGGCACTGAAAATTTATATTATCAAATAAATTATTTTTATAGATTAATAAAAAATGAAAGGATGAATGAAATATGCACCTTTCCTCATTGTTGGCATTAAGATAAGTTGACTTATATAAGCCTAATGTTCCTGTTCCAAGTTTACCTTTAAAGCTCAGCATAAGTTCGTAACTTCCTTCTTCTAAGAAAGAAGACAGTTTTATCACCCAATAATGGTTTTTAGGGTAAGCGAAGGTACTTTCAATTGGCACTTCTTGACCATTTTTAGAAAGTTTTGTTGTCTTAATCATGAGATTAGTTTGATGTAATAGAATATACATTGTCGGTAGACAAACTTGTATTTCAATAATAACATTTCCTTCATAAGTTCCTTCGACTAAATTGGGATGAATGAATAGATAATAGTGTGAAGGAAGTACATCTTTAGGCAGACGGTATGCTTCCCATGGCCCTTTTGCTTCTTCTAATGACTCCTCCGTCATCTGCAATCAATAAAAGAAAATATATTGTTTAATACTAAAATATAGCCATATGCTAATTAGAATTATTGAATAGAGGGCTTCAACAACTCACTAAACTCATGAGCTATTACTTACTTAATGGCGCTACAGCCCTAGCTGGACTTTGGCCTCACTTAAAATTGATAGCCATTCCTGCCTACCTTCGCCATCCTCTTACTCCTATCCGTCTGAAATCGTCCTCTACATCATTCAACCACCTCAGCCTTGGTCTTCCTGCTAGTTTCCTTCCGCCTGGCCTGCCATTCATTATCTTTTTTGGTAGCCTCTGATCTGGCATCCTTTGCATATGGTCCAGCCATAGCAAACTTCCTTCTTTCATGAATGCCACAATATTAGGCTCACCAAAAAGCTGTTTGAGCTCTCTGTTTTTCCTAATTTTCCAATGGCCATCCTTGTTTACTGGGCCAAATACCTTACAGACAACCTTCCTCTCCAAACCTTCAGGATCGCCTCACTCTCCTTGGACATCACCCAGCACTCACTTCCATATGTCACCACCGGTCTTATTATTGTCTTGTATATGGTTACTTTTGTCTTGAGAGACAATACTTAAAATTTAAGCAGTTTATTAAGTGCAAAAAGGCATCTACTACCAGCTGCTATTCTGCCTTGATCTGTGCTTGTGTATCATTGTCTTCTGTTACTAGAGATCCTAGATATTTAAAGCTCTTGCAGTGCTTGGATTTGTGCCCATTAATTTGCACTTCTTCTTCCTGACCTAATTGAGTTCCAGACGTCCTCATATACTCCGTTTTAGCTTCATTTATTTTCCAGCCTCTGCTCACTACCGCCGCATCAAACTCTTCCAGCGCTCCTGAAAGGGTTGATAGCGTACACGCTGTGATGGCTACATCATCAGCATTGAGCATGTGCTGGGTAATACCGCTAAAGATATTTCTTCCCGGGTTGGTTCTAATTGTTCTTATTGCCTTTTCGAAAGCTAAGTTAAATACTAAGGGCGACAGTGGGTCTTCTTGTCTCAGTCCACCTGCCACATCGAACTCTTCCGATAGGGTTTAACAACTCTTACCTGAGACTTTGTTTCCTTCCACGTCATTTGAATCAACCTCACCAGCTTTGGGAGAACTCCTAGGGATCTGATATCTCTTGCTACCCTTTCCCTGTCTTCCGAGTCGTTCATCTGTTTGCAATCTATAAAAAGGTGGTGCAGGCTAACATTATGCTCATGACTCTTTTCCAATAGCTATCTTAATGTGAAGATTATAGCTATTAAGTCAGTTGGGGATCTTCCTTGTCTAAAACCACACTTGTAATCGCCAATCTTACCAGCCTCTGGTTAATTGCAATGGAGAGAATCTTGTACACAGACGACAGAAGCGCTATCCCACGATAGTGGGGTGCTCATGAGTTATAGCTTAGAATAAGATCTTTCCATCCATGTTTGGAAATGGTCATTGGTGTGAAAGATCCAATCTTTATTTGAACCTAAGTGTGCGGAAAGCAGCAATCAGTAGCCAATATCCAACGGATATTTCTACAGGATTCATAATCAGTTTTTGCCAACCAGATTTGAGATATCATTGACAGCATCTTAAAGTAACTTATGTGCAATGCTGGGCAGGACCTAAAAAGGGTACTCATTGCAGGAGAAGATATGGATATAAATTACAAAAATCTTACCCTAAGTAACACATAACTTGTCTGCCATTCCAGAACCGCTGCATCAAAGAATATTTTAATAAGAAATATAAAGCCTCCACAAGTAGACACATGTGACTCGTTTCAGGCCAGATTTACAGATTGCTGTTAATGTCAGACAGACAGAGACAAGCTAAATTCTGAATATGATTCACACCTCATTTAAGCAAATAAAAGCTACAATCTAAAAAGTGATGATACCAAAACAAACCCTTAACACAAAGTTTTAACTGGCGACCTTCAAAAGTGTCTGCCTGCATCTTTACTGACAAATTGGATGCATTTTTATAAACGCAAACTTTGAACTCTGAATTATACTCTTTATGATTCATCTGATAAAAGTGAACACTGAATGATGTGGAACAAATCTAAAGCTGGTAGAGATGGACAGGAAATTTCATCAGCTATTTTGAAATAGGACAATAGTATAATTCCTACTTCAAATGTTAACAAAATAACAATTTGGTCATATAAATGCTTTGATGATAAAAACATTTCCATTATTCTGTTTTTTTTCTGGATCAAGAAAAAATATCCTCAAAAACAGTATGTCAATACAAAATTTCTTTTAAAAGGACATACTCATAAGGAAGAGGATACCAGTCATGCTCTAATTAAAAGAAAAGGAAAGGACATTGACAACCTGACGATCCTCACTCTCTCATTCTTTGCACAACTGTTCTAGCAAGTTTCATGTATACAACATGGAGCAACATGATTTTATGCAATTTGATGCACTCACCAGCTTCGACACATAGGCTATTTGCAGGGCTGGATCAGAAAGCACCAGTAGCTATTCTGAGGGCGGTGTTTTGTACAAGATCTAAAATTTTTAAAATGGTACTGGATGCCGAGTTGTAGGCATTACAGCCATAGTCCAATTTTAATCTTAATAGTGTCCTACAGTCTCTGGGAGCTATCTGTAGCCTCTATAAGTTTTCGCACGGCTTTCATTAATCTAGCACTAAAAATAATTAATATTTAATTATATATTGATGAAAAATAGTCCGGAATTTAGTCATTAATGGTGTATATTAAGTTTCCCAGCGTTTTGACACAAGCATGTGGGTCATCAGGGAAATGGTTTGAAGTTCTTGTCTTGCCTTCTAACCATAGAGTTAATAAAATAAAATTTAAGTAGAGCAAACTATTATATTAAGCATACATTTTAACTTAATTAAGCAGGTATTCATCAGGACTTTTTTAATGACGGCTATTCAGGACATCTATTTTTGATAAACAACATAGCAAACCGCATCTGAAAATGGGAGACAAACATCTAAAAATGGGAGACAAACATCTAAAAATGGGAGACAAACATCTAAAATTAGGGGACAAACACCCAAAAATAGAGGCCAATAGATACTATAAAAACTAAGTAAAAATCAATAAAGTATTATAATAAACTTTTTCGGCAATAATCTTTATGATTCTCATCAGATATCTATCATCCTGAAAAAGATAAACACTATCAAAGAATGAAGCTCTGCAGCATCATTGGTGGTTCTTTCAACCTGTCTGGTTTTAGGCTACCAATATGATCCCTTGGTAATTATTGAGGTTTTGTTTGTTATGAACATGATTGCTGATGAATTGCTTTAAGCTTATGTCCCATCTAAACCTTTCGCTAAATAAATTGCAAACAAAATCTAAATATATATATATATATATATATATATATATATATAAATATACAAAATACAAAAAATATACAAAATATATATATACATATATATATATATATATATATATATATATATATATATATTAAAACTTAACTATTTAATTGGGAATAAGAGACTGTCGGTGTGTCCCTGGTCTGATCAAAGCTCTATTTTTTAAAATTCTAGCTTTAAAGAGGATCCCATCGTTGACTCATAAAAAGAAAATACCGGGATCGAAACGTCAATAAACATAGAAGAAATGAACATTCAATAGTTTATTAAGTCTCCAAACTTGTTGGTCCACGGGCCTCATTGGGACCTACACCAAGTTCCATGAGCCGCATCGAGGCATTCACCCAAGTCCCGTGGACCATGCCTAGTGATGAAAAAAAAAAATGACACTTCAGCTGTGAAATGAGCTTTCTACGAGAAAAATCCTATATGTGAGTGATGTGTTGAATTAGATATTATTAAATTTATTTGACATGTAATCAAAGAATCTTTCGTGGACTAGATTAAACGTGCTAGCGGGCATTAGTTTGGAGACTCCTGGTATAGAATATTGATAAACAGAATGGTGACATCACTAACAGACAGTTTATAAATATCGCTATGTCATCAATAGCTTTTTTGGACAGGCTACAAAACAACAGCATGATTAAAAATACCAAAAATGGCAATATTATGCTCAAATTTTGAAAGATACTTAAAGCAGAGAGTACAAATACACATAACATGATCAATTACCTTTGAACAAATGAAGATATTACTGAAATAATAATAAGTGGAATGAGCTTGGTAAATCACTATTAAGATAAGGCTGTCAGTAGTTGGAGATAAGGGAGAAGAGGTTGACAACAGAAGTAAAAAATATTTAAAATTTATACGATTTAATCAATAAACCTGCTGTGTAACTTTTTATATTTTTGAACCACGCATTTTCTTATACAGAGAAGTCTAGGTGGGTTTTATCAGTAAGTGAAAATAAATAATTTTTATAAATTCACATTAGAAAACATTATTTTAAATTTACATCCAATTTGATAAGAACTATATAAGTAAAACAAAAAATCTGAGCAGTACCTCAGACGTAACTTCTCCGGGACCCATTACCGAAAAACTTTCAACTTGTAATATTTACCAAACCAAAACTACTAACCGGTACTATTTTAACAATCTATCGATATTCATTATTCACGATCGATCTCGAGGCATAATCAAATAGTATATCCTCAATCGGGGAGGGGCGAAGGGTAAGTGTTAATTTTAGTAATTAGTATTGAAATTAACAACTCATTCGTGTTATGAAAATAATAAAAAATCTGTGTATGCGCCGAAATAGATATAACAGTAATTTATTTTATTAACAGTTATGCAGAACTATTAGTTATTAAACAACTAATTGGCATGTTCAGCATTAATTCCAAAAGTGGCGATTTCATAGATGTAAATTGTTTCCACATATGTGAAAGACCTCGACTGAGTCGAGAAGAGGCACTGTCAGATTCAATGTGGAGCTTTTTCTCGACTTTGTGCTCAAGTAATCTTAAGATTCAAGTGGAAAGGAAATGTGTATCTACGGGTTTTTAGTCCCTATTTGAATTGGCAAAGTTTGCCGACCTCCAGATAGAAAACGCCCCAATTCCGAGAATTTTCGTTAATAAAACATTTGTAAGTTATGATGAGACGAATCTATTTACGAGGTTTCAGCCAGATGTTAATAATTTGACAAAAAGGGGCCTGTACCACGGACTGGAAGTAGGTACGCAACTATTTTATCACGTCCTATTTGTACTTCAGCCACTAAATGTAAGCATTCGTCGGCAAAAATACTTTTCTTCCTATAATTACAATTATTGAAAATTAAAAAATTTAGGCACTGACAGTGCTATGTTTGACACCCATTTGCGTCACTATACTGAGGACTAATACTCCTGCAGGGCAAGCTAGCTAATCCAAAATCTAGCCCACACCTCCGAGACGCGCTGTTATTTCAAATTTATACATAAATCTGAGTTTTTGTTCTATTATTTAAAAAGTGCTATCTCAATCTTATATATTTTCGACATCATTTGAAGCGATCACACAGGTTTGGAGGTACGACAAGGAGATGGGCTGGCGTGTTTAGTTTTTAACCTGGGACGGAAGATCACATCTCAGATCACACCTAGTACCAAGATAAATCATCACGTACATTCCTTGGTCACGCTGATGATATTAATATCCCAGGAAGTCGTTACAGTTTGTTAAGGAAGCATTTATAGCACCGAAGAACGTTACGATTCGGCTATTTATAAACTTAAGTAAAACCAAATATCTTGACGAGAGTACCACAGTATCTAGTTAAGTAACAAATATAATAATTGGAAGACAGGTAATTGAAAAGGTTGAGGAGTTCATATACCTTGGACCACAACTGAACGAAATGAACGGCATTGGTGCAGAAATCGAAATGAGAATACTAACTGCGAATCGGTACTATTTCGCAGTACATAAACATCTTCGAAGCTACCTTACATTGAAGAACTCAAAAATTCTGATTTATTAAGCTCTTAACCGATCTGCACTAACCTATGGCTCTGAAACATGGACCTTAACTAAATGTCAAGAAGCTTTGATACTATGTTTTAAAGAAAAGTTCTCAGAACCGTGTATGGAGGAGAATGACAAAGGCGGAGCTGAAAACAATGTCCAAGGAGGTTGATGTGAACTAGTATATCAAACCAGGAAGGTTATGCTGGGATGGACACGTTGTTAGAATGAGAGAGGGTGAGATTCCTGCCAAAATGTTCTGGGAGCAGATATTTGGATTCAGTTGCAAAAGCATACCACGACTTAGCTGGAAGGAATACGTCGCTTCAGCCCTAACTCTCTTTGATATCTGTAATTGGAAGGAAGCAGCAGCACTTGATAAAGATAACTGGCGGTCAATGTTGAAGCAGGCAAAGACTCAACTTGGGTCCTGGAATCGACAGTAGAAGAATATGTAGTTATCTCCTATGCTTTGTAGTATGGGCAGAAACGTAGATTTGTAAACCTCAGATTTGGTGTTCTTAGAGATTTCCTCATTGTATAGAAAACGTCTAGTTACAGCATAGAACATCTTTCCAAACTCACTCTCTATTTAATTTCATTGTCGATGATTCCGTTCTCATCCGAATGGGCTCCCTGATATTTAACACGTTTAAACTGTTCAGTCAGTGACGGCCTTAGGATGGGGTAACCAGGGCACCGATCTAGAGGAGCGCATTGGGGGCGCAGGCCAATCTTCAGGAGCGCTTGCCTCTTGCTAGAAATAAAATAATTAATTTTAGTCTATCAATATAGCAAAGATATTAGAGAAATGTTGAATGAAATAAAAGTATTGCATAATATAAACAGAATAAGAAATAAATTAATTTTTTTTAGGGGCGGGGAGAAGATAAGTAAAGACAGTCGTAATAAGCAAAGACAGCAATATCATCGACGAAAGCCATTAAAGAGCAGATAACTGGTTGCAAATGTCTATATTCCAAGATGAAACCTCTCACTTAGCCTTTGGCCTTGTAAAATAAAATACAAAAGATAATATACTATAAATTTTACAAAATGTGAAGAATACGAAGTAAAGACGTCTCACTGTCAACTTAATATTTATAAATTGAATTTTATTCACGTAGGTTTCGAATGTCCATGTTAATAAAAGATAACATCAATAATCAAGAGGTCAGAGACAGCTATGAAGTTTATGATATTGATGTGAAAGTAGTACTTTGTATGAAATATCGGTAGACTATCATTGGAATTACTGATATGATTGGAACAAAATGTTTTATCAACACAGAAATCGCTATCACATTTAGAGGGATACCTCCAGTTTTCGGCACCCTAAAGGAAACTTCAAAACTGGGGAGATTGTGGGGCTCAGCTAAGTGGAGAAATAAAGTACATAGAGGAACTGCCAGACAATACCTCGATTCATATTTGTGCGAATTTTTGTGGCGGCGGGTTCACAGAGAAGAGGACCCGTTCCTCGCTATTTTAAGTTGCATAAAACAATTTTGCCTTCCAAAATAAATAAGATAAAAGGAAGTGAATAATTAACTTAAAATAATTTGTATATACGTTGTTTATAGTATTGATATTTTTTCTTTTCTATGTAAATATGTTCTTTTAAATTTTTTTTTTTTTTATTTCATTTTGATGTTTTATATGTACATATCTTCTTAAAGTGTTTTTTTATTATTTCATTAATATATTGGTCGTCAAATAAAAGTATTTTTGTTGTTATTACATTTGTTTTTGTATCTGTTTACACTTTCAATAATACGAATTTAATACAATAATACGAAGATGTGAAGTAGGAGAAGGCTTATCACTGCGTTCTGGGAGTTATGAGTGTTCAGGTTATAAACATTGGCAGATAGCAGTCAGTAACGGCCGCTTAGACAAAAAGTACACGTTTTTGTTCCATTTTTAATCAGGTAGATTTTGGTTAAACAATTTCGATTTAATAAAGTTAATAAAGATCTCTAATATAGACACTACCGGTCAAAAGTTTATACTCATCCTTGGATTATGTAAAATAACTAAATTTGCATATCTCAAATAATAACAAATCAGCTTTATTTTGATATATACAACTATAATAAATACATAACAACTATAATTTAATTTACAAATTATATATATTGTCCAACTTTTTGATTCTTCAAAATATTACCCTTTTTTCTTAATGAGAGCATTGCATATTTTTGGCATTCTTTCTATTAATTTTTGCAATGTTCTAGCTGAGAAAGTTTGTTTTAATTGGTACATTGTATCTTCCGAAGTTTCTCTGGAGCTTATCCCACAAGATTTCAATGTGGTTGAGATGAAGGGATTGAGATGACCACGCCATTTAGGTACTTTTTTCTTTCCTTTTGTTTCCATGAAGCTTCTACAAAATTTGAAAGAATGTTTCGAAACATTATTCTGCTTGAAAACAAATCCTTGGTCCACAACTCTGTGCCCACTTGGAAACTCATGCTGCTGCAAAATTCCGTGATATTCTTTTTTTTTCAATTTCAACTATTCGGAAGATATATCCTACTTTGTCACCAGCAAAACATCCCTACATATGACTGACTCTCCACCTTGCTTTAAAGTTGGTATTATACATTGATTTATCACGCGTTCGCCAATTATACGACGGACATATTGCCTCTGTTTAACATAAGAGACAAAAAAAAAAAAAACATAAGAGATAGAGGTAGTACTGTGTATGAGAAAAGTACTATGCTCCGCGTCCCGGGTTCGATTCCGGCTGTGGTAGGAATTATTTATTTAGCTACTTTAAATGAGCATCGACCCTCGGATTTTAAGCACACCTCACCTCTATAAACGGTTAATTAAATAATTAATCAAGAGGGAAAATCTGGTCAAATCTCACCGTCTCGCTCCACCATTGACCGAGGAACAGTACTTTTTCCTTCTGACGGAGACCACATAATTATGACAGTAGAACTTCCAAGAGACTTATTGCTTTATAGTGGTACATGTTTGGTTTTTAAATAAAAAAAAAGTTTAATTTCTTTTGTGCTTTATGAACATTTAATGGGTAAACGTTTTACTTTTTTGTGTAAGACATTCAATTAAAGAGAACAATTGAAACTCATTCGTTGCAAGTGGTTTTCTAAGTATTCCTAAACACACTGGAATAGTATACAAATATATTCTCAAACTGAAAAAAGTAAGCAGCGAACTCAGTTCACAATTAAACGTCTAATAAATACAATGATTTAAGAAGGAAGGAGATGCTCCGGGGTTGCGGTCATAAAAAGGCTAAATAGAGGTAAAACTATTTTATTGAAATCCTGATCTGGCTTTCAATAAAATAGTTTTACCACTATTTAGACTTTTTATGACCGCAACCCCGGACCATCTCCTTCCTTTATAATGCAACGGTCAACTATTAAATATTCAAAATGCTTTAAGAAATTTGAACATGAAGTTCCCGCCAGATTGATTTTCGAACTACTAGTACTCCCGGTTGTGAGGTAATATACAGGTTTCGAATACTAGTCGTTTCAATTTTCGGCTAGTATGGCGGATTAGGTTGTTTAAGTGTTGGTTATTTTGTCTTCTTACTTTTAAATATTTTCCTTGAGTGCCTCTCTTGTCATGATTTAACGCTGCATTTCTATGTAATATTCTAGAAAATGATGGATGTGGTCTTTTTTCACTTTGCTTTTGGTGGAAAAGTTTCTTCTTAATTATAGATATGTTAACCAAATTGTTTATACTGTTTCTAAATCTTAAACTTCTTAAGGGTATTTGAAGTTATAATTCCTTATTCCAGTTTTTTCATGTTTTAACGTAAGTTTTTTTCTATTGAATTTTTGAATTATGTTTTAGAAGTAGTTGACAAATTATTTTCAGTTATTTTAATGTTCCCAATTTTCTCTTTTTGAATATTTTATTCCAATCATATTTTTAGATGTCACGAGGATGCTATAAAACCTATGGTCGAAAAGTAGGGCCAACTACTCATGCTAGTATTCAATTTGATAAACTTTTCTATGAAAACAGTAATAAACCTTGTGCAGCAAAATCTGCTGGAACTGTTGGAAAATGGGGTATTACTTCATTTACTTCCATAAGAAGTACTAATTTTACTTTGGGTGAGTACTTTCCACAGTAAATTCCTTAAATTTTTCGTTGTATTTTGATAACAATTCAGGATATTAGAGTTTTTAACGAATTCTGAATTTGTTATAGGACAACGTGTTGAATATAGATCAAAGAGACCAAGGGATAAATCTAATACTTGTTCTGGTTTTAATTCAGGTTCAACATCCCCAACATCTGTGAAGCCAAAAAAGTTTTTCAAAAGCAGAGTTGATGATGATAAGCCCAAAGCACCACCTCCTGCTCCGGCTCCACCACCCCAATCTCTTACGAAACAATATAGCAGGCCTGCAAGACCAGCCAGGTACAGAATATATTATTACTACTATAATGTTTGAAGTTGTGTCATTATTTATATTTTAATGTTACCGTTGTTACTTTTTGTTTAAATAATATTTTTTTATTTGTATTACTTTATCTAACATAATAAAGTCAAGATAATTGTTGAAAGCACAATGGGAAGCCAGGTCCTGAATGCGGGCTACCCATTCATTTATTGATTCAGTATCTTCCATAGCTGCATTGTAGAATCTGTAACGGGCTCCAAAGAGTGATTCAGACGGTACAAAATAAGTTTAAAAGTTCAACTCATCAAATAAGTTTAAAAGTTCTGAAAAGGTTAAACCTTTTGGTTGCTTGGGAACACAATGTCGTTATAAGCTTAAAAGCTTCATCATCTAACGAATTAAGATATAAATTGTGCCTTTTGGATACTATTTACATCGAAAAAGTTTTCCATCTGTGGCTTATATAGAGTCCAATCCATATTCATTGAAAATTCTCTGAGAACTCTTATGATCGGCAACATAATGATTTATCAGTAGGTGACACAATAGTGAATAAATGGTGTTCACTTACTTTCAGGATTAATCCTCGTCGCCAATGTAGTGTATCAATGAATTCTGTAAATTAAACACAAACAATTTTCTCTTTATTGTTCCTAAATACATTACATCACATAGCATTAGTGCTCTTAACCCTCACAAAACATATGACTGATTCCAAAAAGATTGAATACTAAATTGATATAACATCGATTTAGTATTCAACCCTTTAACAAAAGGTTAATATTCTACACTTTACAGGTGTCTTTTCAACATGATTGATGATTATAAGATCTCATTTCCACACTTTTAGTGAAATTCCGTTGTTAGTCTAATGCATTTTGACAGATTAGTTTAGGTTACATTTCTAATAATATTTCAGTATTATCTCAACCTGCTGTACTATTTCTGATTATTAGTTAATGTTATGTTCATATCACTGTCACATCTACTGTCAAATTAAACAATTTTTATGTTTCTGACTGATGATAATCTCAACTCATGTGCTTTATTTGATTTATTATAACAATAATTGTAAAGGTGGGTTCAATAAATAATATTGATTAAAGAGGGAAAACAGATGTCAACATCTAACAATCAATATATCAAAGCTCCAAAATAAATTAAAGAAATGATGAAGATTGCAGGGAAGTAAACTTAAATTCTCTCCAATTGAGTTCAGTAGATATTAAAAAGTCTTCAAGTGTGTTTAACGTCTTATAACAATTGTTACTGAAGTTCTGACATAATATCTCATATCTGTCAATTTCGTGATATCATGATTTTTCCTTTCTTCAAACATATTATTGAAGATTTTTTAAAAATAATCCCCTAAATATTTTATATAATAATTTTTTTACACAAATATCTACATGTTATTTGTATCCAAAAAAAAATTATTTAACACTCCAAAGGTCGCTAGTTTTTGAATCACATGGAAGGTCACTACTAATCTGTGAGATCCTGTTCACTAAATCAATTTATTGATCAATAATTTCTCATTGTACTTAATGAAAAAGATATAAAATGAGTTTTAAATATATTTATTGAGTAAAATCCAGTTACACAATTAAAAAAATATTAAAAAACAACGAAAAATACATTGACTAAGGAACTTGGACATTATATTCTGTATACTTCTATTCCAAACTTGGAATCGATTGGGCCACTTAAGTCTCACAATTCATCCAGGTTTTTCCCCCGCCTTAATGCATTCCTGCAATATATAACAGCACAAAAAAGGCTTTGATTTCAATTGTATCAGTTGTTGTGTTCCTTTCCTGTGAAAAATCTCTACATACTAGTGATGGGCAAAACTGCTTTTCGTTTATGAGCTAGACTGTTAACACACACACACAGACCATTTTGTGACACTTGGTTATTTGAACTCAGGGGACCTCAAAACATGTATTTCTATTGAAAACTGAGATTCGAAAATTTTCACGATGGCAATACTTTCCCTTACTATATATTACATATATAGATAAGAAGCAGTTGCAAAAGTTTCTGTTACTTTCAAAAAACAGATATGACTGTTTTGAAATTCAGCAAGCAAGAAAAATCTGGTGCGGGCAAGACACAACTTTAACTTACCCGTCTAATTTGAATAGAAATTATTTTCTGGCAATATAGGGGTATTATAAAATTTTTGATGTGCATTTTAAACAAAGCTAAAGCTTAAAGCTTACAGATAACAAATCATTAAGGCCATTAAAATTACAATAAGTCTATTTATTATATCAACGGTAGGCAATAAAAATCTAGTTACTCCATCTAGTTTTATAAACTACATAACTTCAGTCTCTAAACCTTTCAGTTGACAGAATGACTAACTCTAATTTCAACATTTTTGAGTAATATCATTTTAGTAATATTTCATGTGGGAAAAGTTATATCTACACAGACAGTGAGCAAGTAGATTCCAGAGTAGGTGATTACAATGTTGAAATATAAAACTGTGAATAAGGTTATAAATTTTGCCACTAGAAACATCACTAAAATTAATAATAAAGAATGTTGAAATTGGAGTTAGTCATTCTGATAACCAAAAGGTTCATATATACCTAGAGAGATTTGAAAGTCCATCTGAATATTTAACCTATAAATGATAATGGATCGTAGAACTATTAGTTTTTAAACTGTTATTTTCCTTTATAAAGTTAACTAAAATGATATTAAGAGATTTTCATTGCCTGCCATGGATAGGTCAAAAGTTGTCACACTAATTGTAAGTGGATAATGTTGGCATTTCGCAAAGGGAAAATTCATCAAATTATTCACTAAATTTAATTTTCTAAAAGGTTACTTGATGATTTTTTGGAATAAATTGCCAATAGAAACTTAATTATTTAAATACAATATCATATCTAGAGTTATTAAATTACAGCAAAAGTATTTAAGGTTACAAATACATCTATAAAATATTTTTATATTTCACTTCTTCTTCCACACAAGTACAATTAAATAGTATTTTAAACAATGGTATTGGCATGATTCGGTGGATTTTAAATACTTTTTTCAAACTTAGAAAAAACTTTAAAAGTTTACATTTAGTAAGAAAATTTCGTTTAATTTCATTGGAAACATGTGATTTACATAAAATAATGTTAGTTTTCTAAAATAATTATTTACATTTTTTTTGTTACTCTCCATTACCTTCTACAACTTTATTTATTTGATATTATTTTTTTCTAAAATTCTCAACGATATATTATATGTATACCTTCTGACGGTTATTTTTGGAGTTTCATTTTCAATCTGGATAAGCATTTTTCTTTTTTTTTCTCCAGTTTACGATTATCATATTCCTTCAAACTTCATATTTAGCCATTTTTTATAGTTACTGTCCATAAAAGGGAGGTAAATTTTTATAATAAACCATATTAAAGGTGTACTTTAAATTAACACTTTAAAGGTGTACTCTGACGGTTATTTTTGGAGTTTCATTTTCAATCTGGATAAGCATTTTTCTTTTTTTTTCTCCAGTTTACGATTATCATATTCCTTCAAACTTCATATTTAGCCATTTTTTATAGTTACTGTCCATAAACGGGAGGTAAATTTTTATAATAAACCATATTAAAGGTGTACTTTAGAGAATGGCGTATATGAACCCTGTAACCATTTAAACCCTGTAAAGTGACATTAACGGGGATAAGACCTAAATGATATTAAAGACCACTTAATTATATAATGATACACCAAGTTTGATCAAAATCATTAGAGCCGTTTTTGAGAAAATTGTAAAAATGTGTTTTAGCATTCATATAAAGTGGCACATCCGGCTCATATACAAACCTTAAATACTTAATATCAGTTTCATACTACTTTTCGTTTATGAGCTAGACTGTTATAACACACAGACCATTTTGCGACACTTGGTTATTTGAACTCAGGGGACCTCAAAACATGTATTTCTATTGAAAACTGAGATTCGAAAATTTTCACGATGGCAATACTTTCCCTTACTATATATTACATATATAGGTAAGTGAAAGTAAAAATACAACTAGTAAATGTGCACACAATAATAATACAATCACATGAAAACGCTTGTTGAGAAACTACCCATTGGTAGCACTCTAATAATATATTTACATAAGTAGATCACGAGGCCATCTTCTTTCTCGACGTCTCGGAGGAAAGTAAAAATTTATTTTTCGTGGATGTAGTATTTTACTGTAGAAATCTTTTGGTTTATAGTGTAATTTGTTAACAATGTTGCTGATTTCCTAAGTTCTGCACCAAATGTCCAAATTGGTATTATTGGTCAGAAGATGTGAGAGTTGATTATATTGTCTTGTCAGTTCTTGTTTTTTTTTTAATTTGTATGTATGTTCCAAGTAAGTCTTGTTACCTGATTTTTTGTAGGGACTGGATTATCGTTGATCGTTAAATGTGGACATGAATCTTTCCTTAATGAAAAACTGATGGGGCTTGATGTAGCCTGTGAATCTTATTTCTCTGACTGTTACTTTCACTAACTTAGATCTCTTAGATTCTATGCTTCTTTAAATTAACTAATCTATTATGTACTGTTCCTTATTTTGTTTAGAAAGAGTTTCATCTATTTCCCTTGACCCAAGATGTAATCTCTTATAATTTAGAGATATTGGGTGATGTGGACTAAATAACTTGTGAATTTTTTAAATCCCAAGTCAATAAACAGCTGCTCGACTCAGCCAATTATCCAGAAAAGTTTTAAGCAATTGCAAAGTGAAGGAGTTGTCGTTATTTTCATACTTCATTTTAAAGAAATTGCTTAACCTTTTGATGATGATGGACTCACGTATGAGTCGTGATGGAGCTCCGCCACGGTGACGTTGGCTAATAAATAAATAAATGCTCTTTCTCATAAGAACAGGGTGCTCAGTGATAAATTCTACTTTAAAATTATCTTATCTCACAGCTTTTCCATGTGGCTGTAGGTAATTTAGGTAAGTAAAAAAAGAAGTTTAGAAAGATGGCTTTAATAAAAAGAGTGAAATGGTGAGTAGAGGTGATGGTAAGTATTCCGTTATAGGAGCACAGAAAAGTGTCAGTTAATACCGTCCCTAGGCTGCTCCACCCTTCCCGCTCATCATCGCTGAAATATTAATGAAGGTGTCGTCTATTTCTTCTTTTTTAAGCAATTATTTGAATCTAGTTATTCTTTATTTAGGTAACACAGTACAATCAAGAGCTCTAACAACATTAAGATGGAAATGTTAATGTTATATGAATAGTTTGATTTCAATAATCTTTTCATCCATTGATGGAAAATGAACCCAGCTACTTGATTTCTGAATTATATTATTTTTGGTTGTA